CATGATGACATGTCCTGAAGTTTGAGCGAATTGGTTAATCTTTACATATATTGTAAACTGCGGATATATTTTAAACAATATGCTTAAATTGGATCCCATAACGTGCTCAAGTTAATATACAATAATAATCTAAGTATGGCCTTTAATAAAGATAAACTGATATACTGGCATGCTTTTCCAACTATGTATCCTAACTGTGGGCAAATTATCTCCAGATGGCAACAGTGACAGAGGCAAGATTACCGCCAAGGGGGATCAAAAAAAGAAAAAAGTTAAAAAAGTTGGAGCTAGTGGGAATAGAACGAATGACCTTATAAAGTTTTTGAACCCCCTTGACCACTAAGCTATGCTTTTAGATTGTATCAAGGAGATTCAAAATATAATATATAAAGATAAAAATATAAATTTTGCCTTACATATACAGTGTAATTTTTTGGCGAAGGGGGTTCGGGTGAACACCTTTCCGCTACTAAATCCGCCCCTGGATGACAAATGTGTATAACTTACATACTAGTATCAATTATTGTTACTTAATTTCTTTGCACTGTACCTTTCATCTGACTTTAGCAAAATGTTGGCACAGTTTCCTCCTTTGACCAAAATTTAAATGTATTAAATTATCAGTTGTCACAAGACTTGGCAACTTGTATCAAACAAATTGGTCAAATATGCTTTGAATTATTTCCAGAATAATAAGTAGAATTGATCCTATACGTTGTGCTGCTTTATATTCTGCATTATTCGAAAATATTTGAATTATTTAACTTCTTCGCGTTGAATAATTATAGATACTATATGATTTTTCAAATAATTAATTTTTATATACCTTTGTGTTATTATTCACTGATTTCTTGTGAAGAAATGTCATATATTACTAATTAAATCACATTTGTAATGGATGACAAATTCGAATCTTCCCATTTTACGTTAGGCGATGATAATAACCACGATTGATCCAATTTAATATGAACAATTATCTTTAATTACTTTTTTGAAAAGTCTGATAGTGCGAAAATTCTTTTACATAGTCAAAACCTACGTTTAACCTCCTTCGGTTTTATCTCTTTTTAAAACGGATCGGGTCAGTCCACATGGGTGACCCACGACTCAAACCTTATATCCAACATCTCCCACTTCGCACAGGTGGACTAGATCCAAACTAGTAACTACTGTGAAAGCAACACACATAATTCATACCATTCGTGCAACCTTCGAGCATTAAGAGCCATAATATTCTTAATCCCTTTAAGGTTGTTTAACAGCTCTATGTAGAAATCCGATCACATGCGGAAGGAATTTACTACTAACATGAGGATCCTGTTACTCGCAATACCCCAGACATCACCTTCTACTCCAGTAGCTAGTTGTTTAATCCCTCATCCTCGAAAGAGGTGAACTCGAGTTCATGTTTAACTTTTTATTCATAATTACATTTGATACCCTCATGGTAAGTGTAATGGTCGACCTATGAATACAAGTTAAATTGCAAAAAAAATTATTTATTTGTCTTCCCTTTCTACTCGAATCTTTCCATTCCAAATCAACTGTTTTCCTAGACATGTACTGCATTGCCGAATCACTCATGGCTATTAGTAACATGCTAAAGTAGCAACACTGATTGACACTTCAAGAAACAGTAAAAGGTCAAAGGGTATTCCAATAAAAGTTAATGTAACTTCTTTGGGATCTCAAACAGTGAAGAAGCTGGGATTCATTCTTCCATTATCCCATTGGTCGATAGCACACGTGGTATGAAACACATGTCACGGTGTTCTCGCCTTGTATTGGCGCGTGTGTCTTATTATTTTAATCATCCAACGCCGTACAGATCTTGGTTAGACACTTTCAAGTGTCTAACCCAAGTTCCTCACTTCAATAATCCTCAAACCATCTTCTTAGAGAAACTCGTATCTAGCTTACAAAATAAGTCATAATCGAATAGTGAAATTCGTAAGCTATCAAGAACGACCTCTACAAGTAAATATAACCCCTCATTATCCAAGGTTCTATAAGGTCTCATCTCTTCACGATTCTTAACGCAAGAGGCGATTGCTCGTGTGAGAGAGCCAATCTCGCGACTTGTTCGACACACTTTATCAATAAAATATTCATCACATGCATACGAGATATAAACACAAATTCAAGAGTCAAATATTGATGAGCATATTTAATACTAGTCATTTTACAATACATAAAAATATTCATGTCCTTCGCAAACCTAGAGTCATAATATGTTTCTCAAACAGATCTCTAGATATCACCTTTTGTAAAAGGATCAGCTATCATGCTTCGCGTAGGAATGTACTGTAAATTTATCTCTCGACTTGCTACCATGTCTTTTACAAAGTTATACTTGATGTCAATATGTTTGGTCTTGCTGTGATACTTTGGATCTTTTGTATATGTAATAGCCGCTTGACTATCACAATATAGAGTCATGGCACCCTGAGAGTTCTTTGCAATATCCAAATGCTCAAAGAACCTCTTCAACCAAACAACTTCTTGTACTGCAGACGCACAAGCTACGAACTCAGCTTCTATTGTTGAAAGGGCTGTACAGGTTTGTTTCTTATTTTCCATGATAAAGCACCACCATTAATTAAGAAGGCATAACCGGATGTTGATTTTCTATCATTCCGATCACCAGCCCAATCATATCCTCTCAAGTATAAATCATTTCCACTATAACATAGTGAATAATTTGCAGGCCTTCAGGTATTTGAAAATTCTCTTCACAACTTTCCAATGATCTCTTCCAAGATTGGATTGATACCTGCTAACCAGACCTACGTCATAACAAATGTCTGGGCGAGTACACATCATAGCGTACATCAAGCTCCCGACAACACTTGAATATGGAACTCGAGACATGTCTTCCTTTTCATTTTCAGTCCTGGGATACATTTCAAGGCTTAAAGTTTCACCTCTCTCTATAGGAGTATCCATGGCTTTGCAACCATTCATGCGAAAACGCTCCAAAATTTTCTTTATATAAGTTTCTTGAGATAGACTCAATAACTTTTTGGGACGGTCTCTTTGGATCTTAACTCCAAGGATATAGTCTTCCTCGCCTATATCTTTCATGTCAAATGACTTTGAAAGCCATGATTTGATAGTTTTCAAATACTCCAAATTGTTTCCGGCCAATAAAATATCGTCCACATAAAGAGAAAGAATTACAAATATCCCATTAGACTTCTTCACATAAATGCAATGGTATTCATTGATCATGGTGAAATCATATAAGATCATTTCCTTGTGAAATCTCAAATACCATTGCCTTGAAGATTGATTCAGACCATAAATAGAACTTTTCAATTTACAGACCTTCTTTTCTTGGCCTTTAACGATGAAGCCTACAGGCTGTTCCATGTAGATTTCTTCGTTCAGTTCTCCATTGAGAAAAGCTGTCTTCACGTCCATTTGATGTAATTCCAAATCCAAACGTGCAACAATAGCCAAAAGTAAGCGAATTGAGGTAAACTTCACAATTGGTGAAAATGTTCCTCATAATCTATTCCAACTTCTTGAGTAAAGCCTTTTGCCATCAATCGTGCCTTGTATCTTTCTATTGACCCATCCGCTTTGTGTTTAACTTTGAGAACCTATTTTTTCGCAATGGCTCTACGCCCAGGCGGAAGATCAACTAGATCCCAGACTTTGTTGGTTTTCATGGACTCTAATTCTTCTTTCATTGCTTTCATCTACTCATCTTTTCCAGGGCTCGATAAAGCCTCAATCACAGACTTTAGCTCATCCATTTTTGTGGGAGATACCAAGAAAATATAATCTTCAATTTCATAAGTACGTTTGGGTATATTTTCCTGGCACTCTTTCGTAGTTGAAATTCAGGTTTGTCACAAGGATTTCGGGATTGAGAGTTCCCACTCCCACTCCTACTCGGATCAAGAATAAGATCTTGATCAATTTGATTATCAACTGTGTCAGAAGACACTTGCTGACTATCTGAGTTCAATATTTCATAAAGAGGCTCTCCATTCTTTACCTCGCCCTTCTTTGGAAAATTATTTTCCAAAAAAGTGACATCTCGCGATTCAATCTCAGTAACACTTCCATCCTCTAATTCACCAAAGAACACATACCCTTTGGAGTGTTCTGAATATCTTATAAAGATACATTTCTTGTCTTATGGACCTAATTTACCAAACTTGCTAAAAGAATCTTTTACATATGCAGCACAACCCCAAGGTCGTAAATCCTTTAAGTTTGGTTTATGACCAGTCCATAGCTCATAAGGAGTGGAAGAAACTGATTTAGAAGGCACTTTGTTCAATATATAAGTTGCAGTCAATAACGCATCTCCCCAAAAGAAGATAGGTAAATTTGCTTGCGCCATCATGGACCTTATCATGTCCAGTAGTGTTCTATTCCTCCTTTCTGCTACACCATTTTGTTTAGGCGTGTATGGAATATTTAACTGTCTGGTAATTCCCTTTTCATTGCACAATCCTTCAAATTCTTTTGAAAGATATTCACGCCCTCTATCGGTTCTTAAGGTTTTAATCCTTTTGTCTAATTGATTCTCAACTTCATTCACATATTTCTTAAAGCATTCAAGTGCTTCAGATTTATAAGAGATCAGATAGACATAATCAAAGCGTGTGAAATCATCAATGAATGTAATGAAATATAAAGCACCAGACCTAGCCCTCACATTCATTGGACCACAGATATCAGAATGGATTAATTGCAATGGAAAATGAGCTCTCTTAGGCTTTCCAAATGGTTTACGTGTAATCTTTCCGACAAGACAATTTGCACAAGTTGGCATTTCAATTTTAGAGAAAGGACCTAGATGTCCTTCCTTAGCCAATCTATTCATTCGATCCTGCCCTATGTGACCTTATCTTGCATGCCATGTAATAACATCAACATCATTGTTGTTAGAATAACATGTCATAACACAACAGTCAACATAATAGTTATATGTAGAGGGATTACAATCTAACACAATAAAACCATCATAACGATGTCCAAAATCATAAAAAAATATTGTTTTGAGTAATTCTAAGACCACTGTGACTAAAGTTCAAATTGAAATCTAAATCTAGAAGAACAGACACAGATACTAAGTTTCGTTGAATCTCTGGAACATATAGGACGTCATGCAACATCAACGATTGGCCACCACGCATGTCCATTATGCAAGTGCCTATCTCTTTGACTTCAAGCTTAGCATTATTTCCCACATATACGTGATTTGATCCAGGTGGAACTCGACGAAACTCTATAAATGCTTCTCTATCGCGGCTCACATGGTCGGTGGCCCTTGAGTCTATAATCCACACAGGATAAGATTTAGTTAGTAAAACAGTGCTAGAAACATATATAGCACTAAGAGATGCGCTTTGAAATGCTACCTTTTTCGGCTCAGTGCACTCACGAGCAAAATTCCCTGGGACTTGGCAATTGTAATACTTCATCTTGCTCTTGTCTTTCTTCTTGTAGAACCGTTTTCCTTTCTTGGAATTTGGCTTGTTTCTCTTCTTGGAGGGTCCTTCTCCGGTCCTTACCCTTTCCGTCATCTTTCCAGTTTCTCTTGCGCTTGAAACTTGATCTTTTTGTACCACTTGATTCTACCACAAAGGCATTAGGTACATCCTAAGCAGCACCAAGCCGCTCGTCTTCAAGCTCCATATGACGGGCAACATCAGCAAAAGTTTTGATGCTATCATTGTGGGTCAAGTTAACCTTCAAATGTTCCCAATTATTGGGAAGATGCCGAATCATAGCCTGAACCTGCTGCTCATTAGAGAGAACATGGCCAACACTTTTGAGTTGAGTAATCATATTTGACATCACCCTTAGATGTTGTTTGACACCGTGATCATAATGCTTTTTGTACGTGTCAAACTTGATTATCAGCTGTCGAAGGCGAGTCACAGTCGTACCCCCATATGCCTCTCTTAAATGTGCCCACATGGCTTGAGCAGTAGGATATTGCTCACATTCGTGGATGAGATCATCAGCAACTGAACTTACAATAATTCTACGTGCAGTGGAATCTTTCTTTTTCCAAACATTGTAAGTTTCCAGATCCCTCTTGTGTTGGGCAGTGTTACCCTCCTTTGGGTGACTCATAACATGGTTAATACTTTCAAGAGCATCTTGCTCTTCGAGTACATACCACATCTTACGATTCCAGATATCGTAATTTTTACCATTCAGTTTATCACCCTTGTTTAAGTCAGCAATGATACTTTTTGATGTCATGTCTGTTATTAGAAACAATATTACAAGTTTAACTTATCAATATATACATCAGTTAATTTATGCAAGTGATTACACACTCAAAAAAATTAATTATAATATTAATTCTACATTTAGTATAGAATCGAACGGTCACTACGTTTCCATTCATCATCTATATCCAAATATTTTTAATTAATATTAAGATTACTTCTTAGTGTGTACATATTTTAAGTCTCAATCCATTACAAAAGGATATAATAAATAATGTATGTAACTAGTGAGACAAAAAACATAATATAAATTTACATGTTTACATAATATAAATTTACATGTTTACATAAAAAACATAATATAAATTTAATTAAAATAAAACACATAATAACAATTTACATGTTTGCTAGGACATCCATATACCAATCGAACCCTAACTCTTGCTCATATACGCTAAAAGTTGCACTAGGCCAAACATCATGATAAATCTCAGTTAAAATTTCACCCTGAGGCTCTCGAAGAGAGTCCGCTAAACTAGCTAATGCTTCCCAATCAGTAATTTCTACATAATTAGCCAATTCATCTCTTTTTATCTTAAAGAGGTGTACATGTTCAGGAACGGAAACATCAGGGCCAATTTTAAATTCCTTAAACTCCCTAAATTTCTTTTCTCTTTCCCTTCGTTCAGCCCTTCGATCCTTTAATTTATTTTGTCTCGCCCTTGGGACATTCCTGATGACTTCAGGCTTCGAGTCTGAATCATTATAGAAATAAGTCCTTCGGCGACGTACCCTTCTACGTTGTCCTCTTCCTTGACTTCGAGAACTCCTACTTGGAGTAATTCGAACTTGTCCATGTTCAGCCATATCTGAAATAGGACCAAGGAACTAATAAAAATGACTACAACCACTCAATGTGACAACATATATCACAATTACTTGTAGAAGGATATCAATCGAGGGATTATTACTAAACTAATTTTAATTCATTGAAATAGACAATGATAAACATTTAGATTACCAAACGTCCATTCCTTGTACTTTGTTTAACCAATTTTCAGGTAATTTTCCTTCACCCCTTTTGATATAACAAAAAGTATTTTTAAGACTATGAAGCAATTTACTTGTTGGAGAAATTCCTCAAGAAATCAGTAGACCTTTTTTTGCCTGACTTCCATAGGTTTGCAAGATAATAAGCTCATTAGCTCTATTCCACCAATTATATTTAACCAACCATCACTTAAACAGATTGGTCTAACAAATAACAACCTCTATGGAAAATTTCCCATAAACATATGTGACAATTTTCCAAATTTAATTATTTTTTTTAGCAACAAAAGAATTCATCACTACATTCTGTGAATGTCAAGAAAAAATTCACAAAAAAATATTAGCTTATGCTTTCTGTGATATAACATGGTGCTAGGGCATTTCTGTTAACAATTAAAATTGTTTTAAAGCACCATAATAGGCAAAGAAGGTTTAAACAAATATAAGTACTAAAAGACAAAAAAAAATGAAGGAAACTTCTGGTATGAACAATAGATTAGACATTAGCCAAAAACCAATTGTTTGACGTCAACAAACTAATTGGTAATGAGTTATATTACAAAACAAACTTTGTTCTCTTTCCAGTAAGGATTCTCAGTTCTAAAATTGTTATCAAACATGATGTTTTCTATCTTTTACTACCACAGTGCCAAAGAAAATTGCAGTAGCGGTCATAAAAAAATATAGCATCGACTGAGAAGTTGTAAACCAGAAAACAATATCACTGGCTCTGATGCCATTGTTAGAATAAACCGAGGGGATAGAACAACGAATTGTGTACGTTATTGATACAGCGGAAACCATTGAACTCACCACCAAAAGAATTGCCCAAATCGTATTCTGAATCTCCAGGAAACAGAGTTTTTGTTCACAAACTAAATGCCTAAAGTTCACTGTGTTCTTCCTTTTCAATTTTTTTTGCCGCTTCAGAATCTCTGTACTGAAGAGAAGTATATAGAGAAGAGGAGATGGGGAGAACTACCGATGAAAATCACCACTCCACGTTCTCACGTCTCTCAAAAGAAAACGTGCAGTAGTTTTAGGAGTAATAAAACCTACGTTTAACCTCCTTAGGTTTTATCTCTTTTTAAAATGGATCGGGTCAGTCCACATGGGTGACCCACGGCCCAAACCGTATATCCAACAGGGACCAACACATGCATGATGATATTGCAATACTATTCTCAAATGAACCAAAAATTTATATCTTGTTTATATAATGGCTTAATTAATTATTTGTTAGAGCTATGCTTTTGAAATTAGCACTTCATTTTGTCAGCATCTCCCTTTTCAATCTCTTTAATTAATTTAATAAAACATAAAGTAGGTTACTTTATAAAAGATCCAATAAATAGGATCCACTTGTTTTGTGGTCCTGTTTGTTGAGGCTGAAAGTAGAAAAAGAATACACAACTGTTTTGAAAAGTACGTAAAATTAATATACTTAATTATATATATATATATATAGTGCAATTTTTGGCAAAGGCTATTCGGCTGAACCCCATTTCACTGCACGTAGCTCCGCCTCTGCCTATTCGGTGTTTGGTATCACATTAGGGCTCCGATTAATTAAAATTCCTGATGTATAAGGTCTTATAAAAGCGAAGCGCTTCGTCTCATAATTTTTTTATTCCCAAACTCGACCCAAAACCTTTGGATAAAAGCGAATGGGTTCTGTTTAATACCCTGTTTCTATAAATGGCTTAAATTATATATGTCGATAGTATAATTTTTTTTTTTAAGTATCTATGTATATATCTTTCTTAATTTTAGTTTCTTTACTTTTTTCAAAGTCAGAATATGACTATTATTAATTAGACTTATTCAGAGCATATTTATATTTGGTTCTGCATTAGATAATGAACTCTATAGCTCGTGGAAAAATGTAAAAGCTTTATACGCAAACTTGTTTTATACGTAAATGTTTGAGAAAATAGGTTCTTGTAAAAATGCTTCAAAATAATGTTGTGTATATAAAATTTGATGTGGTTCAGTCTTTCCCGAATTTCGACGTCTACGTAGCGTGAACTTACTGCACCAAGATTTTGTTTGCATACAAAACTATTGTAACGATCCGATCGGTCATTTTGAGCATTTGCATTTTGCTCGGTAGTTTGGGGACACGAGTAGCTCCGTAGGATGTATTAGGACTTGTGTGCAAAATTTAAGTTCATTCCGAGTTGATTTGATATGTTTCAGCGCGAGTTTTTGGAAGTCGAAAGTTCGAAAGTTCGAAAGTTCATTATGTTTGATTTGAGGCGCGTTTCATCGTTTCAATGTTGTTATGCATGATTTGAGGCCTCAAGTTAGTATGTGTTATGTTATGGGACTTGTTAATATGATCGTACGGGGTCCTGAGGGGCTCGGGTGAGCTTCAGATAGGTTTGGGCTGTGTTGCGCTCGTTTTTCTTATGTTTCGACGTCGTTTCTTCAAGCATAAATGATACCACATTAAGCAAATGAGCTCCGATTTCTGTTTTGATTAAATCATTAGATCCATATCATAATTACGGAACTATAGCAAAAAGAATCGTCGAATTTGGACATTTTATGAGGAATTTATGGTCTTTTTACTAAAAATTGGGTTGCCAGATTTTTTAGATTAATTATGAAATTTTGTATTTAAAAATCTGCACTATTTGCAAATATTAAAACCAATATATCTCCTTTATTATAAGGTCAAATGGAGTGATTTAAAAGCTTAACTTGACTAAAATTTCATAAGGAATCCATTGGAGGCATAAAAAGCCAGTTTCGAGATCGCTTAGCATGAGAAATGAGGCAGAATAGCTGGCAAAAATATATATAAAATAAGGGTTTGTTCATTTAGTCATATTTTGAGTTGGGGAGCTCGGATTTGGGCAATTTTGGAGGTGATTTTTACCATATAGATTGGGGTAAGTATTCTCTACTTGTTTTTGGTTATATTCATGAATATTTCTTCGTTTTTGGGATTTGATTGATAATTTCAAAGTGAAATTTGGGAATTTTTGCCTAAAGTTTCATAAAGTGAATTTTTAAGTTTGGAACAATGATTCGCAGTCGGATTTGAGTGAAATTAGTATGGTTGGACTTATAATTGAATGAGTTATCGAATCTTATGAGTTTTGTCGGGTTTCGAGGTGCGGGTCCGAGTTGGGCTTTTTTTTTGCCGATTTTGGGCTTTTGATTAAAGATTTGACCTTTTTCAATTGAGATGCGTTCCTTTAGCATTGTTTGATGTATTTGAGTTATTTTTGGTTAGTTTCGAGCCGTTCGGAGGTCGGAACGCGCGTGATGGCATTTTTGGAGCA